GCCGAAGTTTCGGTATTAATTTAGCTAAAATATAACTAAGGTTTAGACTTGTGAAAATTCCGTCTAATTTCTGTATCCTTTAGATTAGGTTGCCTTGCTGAGGTAATTATCTCCAACGATCGGGCACGCGTATCAGCGTTAATATATCAAACCAACATTTTTACTTTTAAGCTGCAGAACTTAGTTGGGTTATCAAAAATTTGACGATAAATAATGTCTATAAATTTTAAATAAATATTCCATACTCTTACGTTACGTTACATGCGATTGAATGTTTTGGCGTACCATGTAGGGCCTACTGTAAATTAAATTATCGCAAATTCTTGTCATATACCAGTTTTTTTTATGTTAACATACCTCCGCCTACGGCTAATATATCAATTGAGTTAATGAATAAGATTAAGTTGGATGATAAAATTAAATTGAATATCAACGATAAAACTAAGTCGTTTGATTTCATGTGTGTATGTGTGTAGATGGCCGTTGAATACTGGCTAACGAACGGTTACGCTCAGTGGTTGGGGCGAAAGGTGAAAAGCATGGCGATGCGCGATCACGGAAACTTGATTGGGAAAACAATCGACCCGTTCAACACCAATTACACTGTTCTGAAATGTAAGTATTTGCGTGTAACATAATATGATATATCTGTGATATAACTAATATTGGACTTCTCTGTAGTAACTAACACCTCTGGACTAGACAGGACATAGGCTGCAGGCCGTCTAGATCTACTGCCGTTCAGCGTTTGATTACATACCCTCTGCAGTTGTTCAACCACTTTACAACTTTACTTTACACTATATTCCTTTTTACATAAGACGGTAGGAGCGGTTGTCACTCAAACTATATCTCGTATTCTTTTTAAATTATTGTATTCGTTCATTCCTCATTCAAATATATATATATATATATAAACATAAGTCTTTCTCAAAGTATATATCACGGTATTAGGTAAGTGTAATGTTAATTTTAATTGTTAAAAAAGGGGGTTTCACGGAAACACCAGTTGTCGTACATCCTAGATACTTCTTCTACATGTAGATCCCTCTGGCGACAAGGTGGCCTACGGCACACGATTGATGTACGCAGCAATTTCGGTGAAGACGGATCTACGTCCTCATGCGCTCAGTTACAAAACGACAATTCCTATCTCAGAGAGATGGGAGCAGTTTATGCGCGATCAGGTATTCTCGATAAATGGTTCTTTCAACGCGCTTGCCTTCTGTCGACATCGTATCGCCACGTTACCTCGTTTATTTTGCGAATTATGTTGTATATTGCGTTGTTCTTGGATATACTACGGATTCATTAGCGCAGAGCTACAATATTACTCAGTTCATATTTCCATTGTGAGGCCGGTGTAACATGTTAGGAATTTCCCTTATGGAAAACGCTCCCCTATACATGCGTATGAACAATACATGTCAAATGCACGCATGCGCAATGCGCCAGGCACCCCAATATACCGCAGATATCCTTGTGTTAGACACACACACACCCCATGCGCAATGTATAAGGGGGCGTTTGCCATAGGGGGGTGTCTATCTTGCTGCACTAGCTACGCACAGCGGTGATGCGGCTTTCAACCCGGGCTGCCTACATCCAAAATTAAACGTCGTGCTATAACGATTGATTATTGCAAAATGTAACTCAGGCTCGTGTTTTCCAGGTGGCTGAGATGCCTGAGCAACTAGCCGGAGGATTTCAGTGCACGCCGCGAGGTTATTGGCATCACGTGCTCCGGCAGCAGGTGCGCATGCTCACTGACATCAACAGTGCATAGTAGAATAGAATAGAATAGAATAGAATAATGGCATTTCTATTATGGACTTTTGCTGACTAGTGTACGACACGTACTGGTGTACGATCGACCGATGGGTGATCCGTTTGGGTGACATCACAGTTTTACATATAAATATTCATCCCAAGAAAAATAGTTACATACTTGGTATGCGTATATTCGATATACTTTCGTTCAGATATGTTTATGAAGTACATAGAACTCCATATAACATGAGTCCAGTTTGTCCCTGATAATGATGTAACTCAAAAATGCATAACGTGATGCCAATAATGCAGCTATAATTAACGCTTGCCGGAGTTTATAATATATATATATATATGTTGACATAACATGTTAATGTCTGTTCGACATGTGAGGGGTTTAGTTTCTACCAGATAGAGCTATTGCTAAATAAATATCTTATGTCGCATAGCGATAACAAAACTTTGAATACAAGAATTGCCAAGGCGGACTATAGCCTAGCATCGAATAGATCAGATGTTCACACAGCATTAATGTCAATGAGCTAACAAATTCTGTTTTTTTACTAAATGTGTCCGACATATTTGTACGTGCGGAATGCCGTGGTCCATGCTTGCGGCTCGACGCTTTGCCGTTGACCAGTTCACGCTATTTGCATAGCTCTAACGGTTGCTGAGACTAATATGGATTTTTTTATCGATTGTTACATAGGCTCTGGTCCACTCTGCGTTCAACGGCATAATAATAGGGTTGAGCTTCGCCGCAGTTTTTCTCACACTCGGAACACAGAACATCGTAATGGGTCTGTTAGCAACGCTTTGTATTACCGCAATCACCCTCACAGTTGTGTCCTTGATCCCGATACTGGGATGGAGGTTAGGGGTAAGTGTACTGGTCTGTACGTTGCTCTGTGGGCGTGCGTGTGTGCTTGCGTTCGTGCGTATAAATACGTACGTACGTATGATCGTACCTGAGCATGTTCGTGTGCGTGTGTTTCGTGTTTAGGTATTCTAGCGTATGTTGATATCGTGGCAGAAACCGTGGTTTTTAGTGGTGTTTTTAAGACGCTGTTTTATAATCGTGTTTTATGATGATAAATACGGAATTTACACGTTTCCTAAATGTTAAAGCTGTGTGTATTTTGTTTCTGGATACCTTAACTGAATCTCCAGCAGGTTTGCCCTACAGCCCTACGGGTATCAAACTCGACGCGGCCTCTCTCTCTCTCGCTCTCTCTTCTCTCGCTCATACACACATATACGGTCGCGCGCGCACACGCACACACACACACACACACACACACACACACACACACACACACACACACAGACAGACACACAGAGAGAGAGAGAGAGAGAGAGAAAGAGAGAGAGAGAGATACATACACGGGCGAAAGCACAACCATGCTTGCCATTCAGCGAAACATGCTATAAGAAAACACACGAAAACACAGTAAAATGCTAAATAAAAGGAAATAAACTTAGCGAACGGAAAGCTTCCGTGTGTTTAAGGTGAATTCAAGAGTTGGCATTAGCGCTGAATAACTATTAAGTATACTGCGGTAACTTCACCGATTGAACGAAGCTTACAAAATGACATAATTTCAGGAGGGAATAATAATAGATATTATATATTATATTATTTATTTATATTATTATATACATAGTATATTATTATATATATATTATTTTCTTTATTATATATTAATATTATATAGGACTATTATATTATTTAATTATATGTTATTTATTTATAGGCCTATTATGATTCACTCCTGATAATATTAATGATATTTAATTTGATTTTTTTTTTCAATTTTTGCAGAATGCTTATTTATGCCATGTCAATATTCGAATCAGATTTCTCGCAGCCTTGGTTTTTTTCAAACAATATAACATTTTTCCCGATCCTGCTATTCAATTTGTAATAATGAGTTATAACTATATTTTGTATCATCTTCTCATATGAGTGTGCGTGTGTGTGTATGCGTGCCCGATTTCGTATACGAGTGAGCGTGTGCGTGAGTGTGTACTTGTGTGCGGTGCACGCGCACATCAGATCTCTCTGACGCACAATCTTTTTTATAATTTCAGGTTCAGGAGTCGATCAACTTGTGCCTCATCGTCGGTCTGGCTGTCGACTATGTCGTGCACCTGGCTGAGGCGTATCACGTGGCGCCCTCACCGGACCGCTGCGACCGCGTGCGCTACATGCTCAAGACGATGGGCAGCTCGGTGCTGTCGGGCGCCTGTACGACACTCGGCTCGTCCGTATTCATGCTGTTCGGGCAGATTAACTTCTTCATGCAGTTTGGCATGTTCGTGTTTGCTACGATCTTCTTCTCGATTTTGTACGCGATGGTCTGCTTCACGGCGCTCCTCTCTTTGTTCGGTCCGCAAGGAGAATTTGGCTCCATAGGACCGGTGATTAAGTTGTTGAAGATGCCGTTCCGCGGAAGTGCGAAAAACAAGATCAAGTGTGAATCCTGCAGCGGTAAAGGTTATGTAACGCCCGTTGAAGAATTATTGCCGGATCCTGTCTCAGCAAATTAAGAGCATAAATATGGAAAGTTTACATATATACGACATACTATAATTATATTGTACTTTATTTATTTATTTATTTGCATTTTTCGTTTATTCATTAATTTATTCTTTTTCTTTCATTCATTTATTTATCTATTCATTCATTTATTCATTCATTCATTCACTCATTTATTCATTCATTCATTCATATACTAATCTTGTTTGAATAAATCTTTAACTTTAATACAGTATAAAATATGAATGTTATATAAATACGTTATCTACTGTGATACTACGCATTGATACGTATGGTATGTGTGAAAATGTGTAATATATTATAGATGTGATTTATGTGATATATTTATGATATATATATATCAAGAGCTAATAATATATATATATATATAAGCTATATGTGATCCATGTTCTTACTGTGAAAAACCGTTTTCGTTCGTTTAGCGAGGAATCAGCGACATTCCGTAATTAGCAACTTGTTGTCACTACTATTTAACAAGGTTTCGAATTATATAAGAAAAGTTTTGTTTGAAAGTGTTTCCAGAGGATAACATTAACGTGATGTTTACATGCGTACTTGAAAAGTATCTACAAGAAGGGTTCTTAACATATCATTGTCTCACTAAAATATTAACATCACATTTGTTGTTCTCTGCTTTTGGTTTTTGTGAAATAAATAAGAATACAGATAATTGTTTTTAAATATATATACTTACATCTATAATTCAGAATGACATAATTAGTACAACACACATGATATTATGTATTGATATATAAACGAAAGTAATAGTGAGTAGATATATATATAATATGAATTTCAACACCAACACAACGTGACAAAACCGTATCATGCCTTTAAGTAAATGTTATAAAAATAGGCCCATCGTTTAAAAATACCCATATTCCTATAGTAGATACGAAGATTTGACAGACAAAATCAATACGTCGTCAAGGCAACGCCAGTTTTGCGGTTTTTATATTCGCGTGACTATAACGATTAACACACGTTGAGCAACATAACAGGTGCATATAGCTATCTTTCTGTATGTCTGTCTGCCTGTCTGTCGGCCTGTCTGTCAGTCCGAGTGGCTTTCAGGCTGGTCGCATATCTGTCTGTACAAGATGGCTATCCCTCGGAGCACCGTGCGGCGCTAGAGTTGGGATTGCAGGCGCAAGTATTACTGTCGGCCCGGCAGTAGCGATGGGGAGGACCACACTCAGCATTGTCCATGCAGTGACCACCCACTTCGACACCTGCAGATAGAAACCAGCACGCGCTATCACTGACCAAGATTTACACAGCAGACACGGACCTGTCGTTGAATACGAGCGATTATTAAAAGGATAATAATAACTGATGAATACATTGCGTATAAATAACCGGAGGACCATTGTCAAAGATGGCGAAAGATTTTTCGTGTTTTTCGTTACCATGGCAACCGCAGATTTTCAATCAACTGCACGGTTGCCATGGTAACCACGTTCTCGGATTATGCTGTATGTTTATATGTTCAACAATTTGAAAGTTTTTATAATATATGTCGAGCAATAAGCTTGGCCATTGTCGACCATATTCCATGTGTTTGTCTTTTTCCTGGCAGCATAAAGGGCAGGTTTATGACAAACCCTAATCATAATAATATCACACTTTTTTCGAGAATGATACAGAATACATAGTTGGAACTAAGAATAATTTCACAATTAAGCTTCATTCTGACGTCAAGCTCCATTCCCGGGCTTGTACCAATTAGTTGTGCTGCATTAACTTGCGTAAGAATATCAGGGAGTCGAAAATTTTCAATCATTCAATAGAATAAAATAATGTAGGCTATACGATAATCTTACTCCCATGCAGTTAGGTCTATCTGAATAGGCTCAGTTCAATAATCAAAAGAGGCCCACAATATTATGTGTTGGAATTCCTGCGTATTCTATGTCACTAGGTAACGAACCTGTTCGCATTTATGGTTGGCCACCATACTCAGAATTAATATTATTTATTGTCCGTTTACCCAATCAGAGGTCTTGTTACACATAATTTAACGGCACATAAATTATTTTTATCACGGTTAACTACCGCAGTACAAATAATGATTACTGAGTACGATGGCTAACCATACGCGTTATAATTCGACGTGCATCACAACAAGTAGACATTTACGCAGGATTCGTATTAAATAGCCTTGACGGATTTTCTTCAATAATTTGTTAATACAGACGATCTAATGAGGATGTCGGTTACATAAGCGTACTTACGGATGCGGCAAACACGTTGACCGGACGAGCACCCATAAGATGCTTGCTCGCGCTTGCAGTCTTCGGAAGTGTAACAGACGTCACCATCTCGCGGCACTGAAGCGCAAAATATTAAAAAAAATTTGCGCTGTTGGATTATAATGAATGCGGAAACGGTTATTTATTGATCGCTTAAATGGTATTATACACATTCAGTGCCAATGTCAACTCTCGAATTCATCTCAAACACACTCAGAATCTTTCTGTTTCTGTTCGTCAGATTATTTCACTTTATTTGACAATTTACGGGTCTTCGGGTTTTTTTTTATTACATGTTTCACAGCATTGACATACATTGTTGTGTTTTTGCCCGTTATGATACATGATGAAAACTACGTTGAATACAGAGTATACACGTTATTGATAGCAAGTAAACGCGAACCAGCGTTCGTTTGGTATCATAAAAACACAAATCATATGTATACATATCAAGAGTAAATAATGGGAGAAAAATAATCTCCCATTATGTACTCTTGATACATATGTGTTTATGAGTTCGAGGGCGAGAGAGAGAGAGAGAGAGAAAGAGAGAAAGAGAGAGAGACAGAGACAGAGAAAGGGAGACAGAGAGAAAAAGAGTGGGAGAGAGAAAGAGAAAGAGAGAGAGAGCGAAAGAGAGAGAGAGAGACAGAGAGAGAAAGAGAGAGGGAGAGAGAGAGACAAAAAGAGAGAGAGAGAGAGAGAGAGAGAGAGAGAGAGAGAGAGAGAGAGAGAGAGAGAGAGAGAGAGGAAATGGCAGGCACCATGCACGAGCGGGTATATACAGAGAACGGCAGCGGAATATTTAAATATGAATGAATTGATGGATGATTGCCACTTACCTGATTTACACCGCCCGCCATAGTTAGTCCATCCCATTGAGCACTGACAAATCCTGATGCCGCCATATGGAAGGCACATAGCATGTGGTGGACACTGGTGATTCAATAGGCAGCTGTCTCCAGCTCTCAAATCTGCAGAATTCAGTTGACGCTTCAGACTTAACTTTCTTACTTTAACAGTTTCTGGCCAATAGCCTATGCATATATATATATTATGATAATATATAATAATATATATATTAAATTTAATTATATAATATATATATATATTAAATTCCATGTTATATACATTACAGACGATGTCTTTCATTTTTTTTCATCTACTTATAGCGCAATGATATGACACGGTAGCTGTAGAATAATACGTCTCAATAGTGTATCAATCGTTTTAGCAGGATTTTACCGGTAAGCTTATTCTTCACTTCCGACAGATGGAGGCAATAGTTAGGAATTGCTATGTTTGGTCCAGTCTCGTTCTTCGGCCGATCTTTAAGTCTGGAAGAAATAGAATAGCAACATTATATTCACTTCATTTTAAAGGAAGAGATATTTAGGAATTACACACCAGATATGCAATAAAATTCCCACATGGGAACTTTCTGCAAGTTCTCCAAGTCTAAACGAAACTGTATTCCTGTTTGTAACTGAACTTTGAGATATCCAGATCATGCAGATTTAGGCCTACGCACCAATTGTCTTGAGATAAAAGGATACGATAGCGCAAGGTTATATGGTAAAGCATTCTCACAATTTTCCCAGATAGCTGATCATCTTTACTCGTTCATCAGAAGAAATCGAGCAGGCGATCGGGTATTGCCTTTCCTCTCCGCTGTTTTCGAGTTTGAGTTTGAGTACATTATTGTACTGTACCAACTGCCTTTCATCCTAGAATAACAAGAGGAGTGGTGGATATACAAAATAAAGTGTCTCTATTCTGCATCGCGTACACGGTAGTGTGTAGTATTATAATCAACTATATAAGTCATCATGTTTCCTGGCCGCTTGTTTTGCACATAATTGTAACAAACTATAGCAACAACTTATCATAACTTCCGTATTGAATTATATGCAGATATTCGCAGAAAATATGGATGCTTACCAATTGGAACACAACCACGAAGGGCAAACTTCTGTTCAATCATTCTACTGCTATCGCTACTTCTATATTATATCGCTCGGTATTCGTTAACGCGCCATGATGCGCTGCTCTAGATATACATTCGCCGCGATCAAGTACTTCTGTCTTCTGAATCATTCGAGCTTTAATGACAGAATGTATTATGCTCGTGGCACTCACATTCACGAGCTCCGTGGTGCCGCATCCAAACAGAGAAATGCCGAAGAACGCTCGCTCCGTATTGCCACCCTCAAAGTAGCAGTTGTCGTTCTTCTCGCGTGGATTGTAGCCGGGTGTCACTAGCTTGATCTTTGTCGGTAGCTTGCTCGTAAAGTCGATCTTAATGTCCATGGAGCGACAGAGCGGGTCGCACGTCACGTCGATATCTGTTATGATAAAAATAACAGTATCATAGAGAATGATATAAGATGATTACGTTATTATTATATATCATATATAATGTAATACGCTAGATGATATATCAAAATGATTATGTTATTAAATGCGTTTGGTGAGACGCTAAGCGATTTTGCCCGAATATCTCACGATTCCTAAACGTATTTTAAATCGAAGCCCATTAAAGTCTGATTAAGAAAATTTTACACGCAAATTGCACTGTAGTAAAGCTCTGAACTATCTCTGTCGTGTATAATGTACAAAACCCTTCCGTCAAATAATACCTTTTCATCCGATTTAACGACCCTTTATGAATCGAATTATAAATCACCAACTTCTATTCACACAATTGAAAGACAGCTGATCAGCTGCGCACAGGCTATTACCTTATAGCATGATAAAAGATATTTTTTTATTCGCGGTATAGCAATCGAGGATCAGGTTAACCACCTGAATAATGGCTGCTAGATCTAGAGCTGTGCTGTGAGCTGGCGCATGCTGGCGTACTGATAAGCCCCAATTCCGTAGATTCGCTATGCTTTAGCATGTATTTTGTAAGTGAAATCGGGCGAAAATCGGAAGCGCATTTATTTTACAGTTAGGGCAGTTACTCCACACAAAACACAAAGTGTCTATTACTTTCGTACTGCGTAATTTACACACACGCACACGCACACGCACGCGCGCACTTGCACACGCACACGCACAACACACACGCACAGGCACACGCACACACACCCGACACACACACACACACACACACACACACACACACACACACACACACACACACACACACACACACACACACACACACACACACGCACACGCACACGCGCGGACGGCGTACGGGACGGAGCGGGACACGCAACGCACACGCAGGGGGTGGGGAGTTAAGTATTAATTCCACGGCGACACGCACAGCACACGCACACACAACACAACACACACACACACACCACACACGACACACACACAACACACGCCAGCACATTCACCAACACACACACAGACACACACACACACACATCACACACCACACACCCACACACAGCCACACACACACACCACACACAACGACAACACACACACACACGATATATATATATATATATATATATATATATATATATATATATTATGAGGCGCGCGGTTCGTCTCCTCTTGCTGAATTCGCGCTGAATGCTGTCGTGTTGGATCTAACCGTAAGTGCTGACACGCCTTTGCTATGCGCTAAGTGCCTAGTGAAACCCACCTCTGATGATGTTATCGATTCCGCTGCCGTATCGCTGCACTACGTTGCGGTTGACGTCCGGCAGCACCACCTGGTGTCCGCTAGATATGTCCGCCAGGTAGCTGTTGCGAACGTCCGTCAGCAGCGCCCTCTGGTCGCTCGGCCCGGCGTACGACGTCGCTGCCTGGTCGTACTGCTGTCCCGCTATGTGTGGCGCCGACACGGTGGCCTGCGCGGGCGTTTGTCCGTAGCTCGTAGGCAGGGCGGCAGACACGCGGCTACCGTACGACGTCGGCAGCTGATCGTAGCTGCTGACGCTGCCGGACGACGGCGACGTTTCTCGCACGTACGTCGCCGGAGGTTGCTCCACCGCGTAGCTGTTCTGCACCGGAGACTCCTGCACGCTAACGGCAGCCGTACCTGCGGCGTACGTCCCCGTCTGCACAACCCCGCCGTAGCTGTTACCACCCACCTGTCCACTAGTGTAGGATCCCGCCGCGGGCTGCGCGTACGTGTAGTTGGTCGGCGGAGGCGTTTCACCGTACGTCTGCAGGCCAGCGACGACAGGTAGCATCGCCTTGTCGACGTACAAGGCGCGAGATTTCGCAGGAGCCGAAAACTCGTCCTCGCCGTAGTTGAGGCCCGGTATGACTACACCCGACGGAACAGTCAACGGCTTCAGCGACGCAGTGTACCGCTGGCTATCTCTGCTCTCGTAGTTCACACCGGGCACGAGCACCGACGTGTACTTTGTCGGCTTGGCGGCGTTCTCAGCAACGGAGTACGGCGTCGCCTCCTGTCGCCTGTAGTTGACACCAGGAACAATGACGGACGTTGGTCGAGGTAGTTGATTCACCGGGGAAGAGTAGGTCGATTGACTAGTGCCTGTCTGCGCCGTGTATTGGCCCTGTTGACCAGTTGGTTGGCTGGCGTACTGCTGCTGCGGCTGCTGCTGGTACGCGCCGGCGCTGTAAGCTTGATTGGTGGCTGCTGGCTGTTGGTACCCACTCGCTTGTTGACCGGTGGTTTGGTAGGTTGGCTGCTGGTACCCACTCGCTTGTTGACCGGAGACTTGGTAGGTTGGCTTCTGGTAGCCGTGACCCGAAGTTTCGTACGATGTCTGTTGAAGGCTTGGCAGCTGTGGTACGGCCGGCAGCTGCGGCAGCTTGACAGCAGTATGATACGATGGTTGCTGATAGCCGCCGCCCACCACCTGATGTTGGCCGCGGGAGCCCTGGTACTGGGGTTGCTGATAGCCGCCGCCCACACTGATGTTGGCCGCGGGAGCCCTGGTACTGAGGTTGCTGATAGCCGCCGCCCACCCCCGGATGTTGGCCGCGGGAGCCCTGGTACGGGTGTTGCTGATAGTTCACCTGCGGACCGTAGTTCCTGCCTTGGTTATTCGCAAGATACTGTCCGCCCCGGTAAGGCCGGGATTGCTCGTAGTTGATTCGCTGGTCGTAGGCGCGGCCTGTGCGGTACCCCGGCGACGCCTCGTTGAAACCATGTCTCTGCTGCATCGCCCGCAGATCGGCGTGGACGCCTCTCCTGCCATGAGGAGGATTCGCCCACTCAGCGGTGGGCCTCGCCTGGGAGTAGGTGGCCGGTATTTCGACATAACCGCGGTTGTTGGCGTTGCCGCCGTAGGGTTGGATGTTGCGGACGGCGTAGTGCTGATTGGTGTTGTCGTTGACGTAATCGCCTGGTGCGCGGCTATAGGCTCGATTATAACGACCGTGTTGCGCCACCTGGTGACAAAAATATCAATAATATTTTCAATAAAAACTCAGTCGCGAAATTCTAGTTTCGCATTTTGGAAAGATTTTCGCTGTACTTTGAGATTTTAGTCACATGATTGCGCGCGATTGTATCGAGAATCGTGTATATTCACGGGTGAAACTCATTGCGTTTATGATTTGTTTACGTGAAACGTAGATTGCTGCTAACTACACAGTGGAATGAGGAAGAGGAAACTTGTTCTCATACATCATAAACTCATAAAAGTGAGTGTAGGTCAGTCACACTCTGTGGTATTTGCCAGGAAAATTAGGCATGTTATCTGCTAAACAAACACATTAATGTTGCAACCATACCAAACCAACTACCGTTTTTGTTCCAGTTCATCATTATTAGGTCAAATTACGTAGGGTATCCTAAAAGACGGGAAATTTGCTGGTATAATAGCTATTACACTAACAATTATACCGTTATTTCGAGATAGTTCGTACGCATACCTCTCTGTTTCCCGCACAAAATGTCGCATGTTCCAACTTATTAAATGTTTCAGCTTACATATCGGGATTGAATGTATTTTGATTTGAGCAGCCCTGACTTTTATCCAAACTACGTAAACTGCATGCGTGACGCAGTCATCGTATTATAAAACTGGAATTTCCATTGTGTCCATAAACGCGACAGCACAATTATCGGGGCAGTAGGCGTAGTAACCCTAGCGCCATGTCCGGTCTAATAAGTATGGACGGTGGGTCATGCACATGCGCTGTATGCCCTCTCTCGCTCGCTCGCGAGTGAGAGACTACTGCATCATTGATGGGTTATACAGTTCCCTGCTAGGGTGTATACGTGTGGAGTTGTTGCCCCTAGGCGTGAGATTGAAGTATATAGGTGTCACTGCCCTTAATTGCCAGGAGCAAGCTGGGGCCAACCGCGCTCGGTAATTCCTCATTCTACCTACCAACAGCTACTACCTATAGGCATATACCTACCTATCTATATACCTACCTACCTACCTACTTACCTACCTACCTACCTACCTATCTATCTACCTACCTACCTATACCTACCTACTACTGACTAACCTACACTACCTACCTACCTACCAGTAACTACTACCTACCTACTACCTACCTACCTACAGTACCTAATACCTACCTAACCTACCTACCTACTACCTATTACCTACCTACCTACCTACCTACCTACCATACCTACCCTGACCTACCTACCTACCTACCTACCTACCTACCTACCTACCTACCTACCTACCTACCTATCTACCTACCTTACTACATATCTATCTACCTATACCTACCTACCTGCATACCTACCTACCTATCTATCTACCTACCTACCTATACCTACCTACATACCTACCTGCCTACCTACCCATCTACCTACCTACCTACATCCCTACCTATAGCTACCTTCCTATACCTCCCAGCCTGCCTGCCTGCCTGCCTGCCTGCCTAATCTACCAACAGTAAAGCATTTCATAGTTCACCCTTACCGTTATCGTGATTGAAATAACGCAGCAATAATAAAACAGATTGTCGCTTTACCGGCGAGTGACTAAACACATTTGATTGAATGTTTCAAAATGAATAGCTGTAGTGTATACATATCAACCTTTCTTTTCTCGCTACAGAAATATAGGTTTTGAATTGGTGGCTTTTGTTTCCCATCTTAACTCATAATGTCGGGTTCACTGTCTACTGAGGTAGAATATCAGCGTCATCCAACCAGAGTGCATAACTTTTATCTGTTGACACAAAATCAGAAGGACATTCTCTTTCTAAGTTGTGTGCTTGCTTTATAAAATTATTTTGCTTTATAAACTGTGCAAATATGCAAATATCCTCCTGTTACAATCATTTGCTGAAATATAGAGCACGGATACACGCCCGCGTGAAGACCAAGAAGAAGAAGAAGAAGAAGAAGAAGACGACGACGACGGCGAAAAAGAAGAAGACGAAGACGAAGAAGAAAAAAGAATACGAAGACGAAAAGAAGGAGGATGATTATGAAGAAGAAGTAGTAGACGACGACAAGGATGAAAAGAAAGAAGAAGACGAAGAAGAAGAAGACGACGAAGAAGAAAAAGAAGAAGAAGAAGAAAAAGAAGAAGAAGAAATACATAACAGACGGAAGTATACACTCTAATGCAAACTAAGACCTAACATAACACGGAGAAAATTCTTACCGCGATCCCGAGCAGAGCTAATAGAAACAGATAAGACGTCATGGCGCCACTTCCACTGAACAACAATATCCTCAAATCTTTGCCTTCCAAGCGCGCCTTTATTCTCCGATCAGAAGATGCCCCGCGAGGAGAAAATCCAAACGAGGGGTGCTGACACTGGATACTACGAGGAGAGTCAGACTGTTTCACCTCGTGCACTCAGCAGCTCCTGCGTTCTGCTGTGTGCAACCACTGAAGCGCGGAAGGACGGCTGGTAGCAGCGAACAGCGGAAGTTAATGCGAACGGCACGGTTGACAAGCCATAGTTGACACGGCACGACACAGTGCATTTCTGCCAGGTGATCACGACGCTAATGTGCTGGTGGCACTGATTAAACCAAAATCGTTGTTTTTATTTCTAGGTCTTTAGCATCATTTATGGTGTGTCAGTCCTTGGCACCATCAATGGTGCGTCGGACTACCACACACGGAGTGACACGAGTATGACCTAGAGGTTGTTCTAGAAGCTATGACATAATTCTTGTGCATGACATTTGCTTCTGCTCGGTTTGAATAATCGTAAATTTGGAATACGGCTACTTCTACAGCTTTGCAATGTTTCCACGTGTTCATGTTGCGCTGTGGTGTAAACGCATCTCGGTCGTAGTATAAGTTTGCGCCTATAGTAAACATGCATGAGCTGACCAATTATTAAGCGATGTAATCACACAGCAATAATCCACGGCCTTATGTCCTATCGGAGGACCAAGAGGAGAAGCAAGTAAGTAATCACGCAGTGGTAACAGAGAAACAAATCAAATTCGGAGGATATATTTCACGATGATGAGCCATATTATTCAAGCCCCCTTCTCCCCACCCAAACTTGCGATAACCTCAGTGCTATGAGTGCGTCCGTTAGACCCTCGCGCGGCAATAAACGCCTTATATAACCTGTTTAGCACGCCAGTCGACTGCGCGAGACGATCGCATAGGTATGCAGCAGCGTCGTCCTCATACATCACGCAGAACCAGGAAATGCTCGCCTGCCTTACGGCATGACAGTAATGGCAGGTTGTTGTCACGGTTTCGGTTGCCTGCGCGTGGCTGTCGTTAAACAATGTTAATGAGAGAGAAAGAGAGAAAGACGTCTAGCGCTGTCTGTGCATGGGTAACCTGCTTTTCTGCCCGCTGTGGCGCCCCGTCGTTGCCGCCTCCACGATTATTAGAGACAATCATTTCAGATGTTGTAAGTCCCCGATGAGCGAAGAGGTTTTCGTTGCTCGTAGCGACGTTGGGCAACACCCGCTCTCTCTCTCTCCCTCGCTCTCTCTCTCTCTCTTCGTCTATCTATCTTCTCGTGCCTTCTCTCTCTATATCTTCATCTCTCTCTCTCGTCTCTCTCTCCTCTCTCTCTCTCTCGTCATCTCTCTCTCTCTTCTCCTCTCTCTCCTCTCTCTACTCTTCTCTGCTCACCTCTCTCTCTATCTCTACTCTCCTCTTTCTCGCGCGCTCTCTCGCTCACTCACCACTTCTATTCGTCTAGATCGGCTAGTGTGACGACTTCATCGACTTACGTTCATCGCTGCCGACCGCGATCGACCACAACGCCTTCAAACAGCTCGCATGTTTTGTCATAATCCAAACGACGATTGAAATGTTATCACACAAAATCTATGCAGATGGCAGCGACGAAAATCGTGTATAGTGCCGAGAGCGGATTCTATATGTACCTTGATTTCATATTATATAGTTTATGTATTAGTTTGTGTTATATTTTACCTATATGTAGTTTGATTCCATAGCCAGATCGCAAAGTTTTCTTTAACCGTCGCTGCTGGTTTCTGAATCCAGTTTATTGAACACAGACAGAGTTGTAGACTGCGCTGGAATCAGTGTGACATAGAAGTAAAAGCTCATTCGTTAGTATCACTTACAAAATGTAAAGGCTGATAATTCGTGACTAAACATGAAACATAATATCTTACTAATATGGAAAACGGGGTCTGTTTCAATTGTCTTTCTATCTATCCAGTACAATATAATTATAGTCGTTGAATATCATTCTGTCTATACGTGTTGGTTTTTATGAGGAGGTTATTGGTATTATATATTGGTACATAAATGAGAGAATGGCGATAAATGAGAGATGATGTTGTAATCCTTGTATTATTATATCACTAATATTAGTGAGTATAAGTAATAACACAAATGTTTTCTTTTAAATATTCAGTACTATTAATAATAGTTAGCAGTAATTTTGTTTCAAATGTAAATGTGTATGTTCATATAATTATATGCCAACAAATTTCTCACGAAAACGCGATACATGATTGTTCGNGGTTATTGGTATTATATATTGGTACATAAATGAGAGAATGGCATTGTGATGAATCAGTAGCAAACAAATAAACCTCTCATTGATGTTGTAATCTTTGTATTATTATATCACTAATATTAGTGAGTATAAGTAATAACACAACTGTTTTTTTTAATATTCAGTACTATTAATGATAATTAGCAGTAATCTTGTTTCAAATGTAAATGTGTATGTTCATATAATTATATGCCAACAAATTCTCACGAAAACGCGATACAATTGTTCGAAACACACACACACACATACACACACACACACACACACACACACACACACACACACACACACAC